CTGTGGTTTGGATTTTGTTTTTTAAATAGTTACTACATCTCTATTTCACTTGCATTGACATTTCTAGGACCCGTGTGTGAAGACACCAACATATTTCACTGGATTACTATGAGACATACCATGTCATTTTTGTTCTCCATAAAAATGCTGAGTTTCTTCAAGAAAGACACAACCAGAATAAGCAGCTCAAAATTGTCTCGATCCAGTGCTTTCACCAGCATATGGACAATATTCTTGTTCCTCATCTTCAGCTCAGTGCGTGTGTCCTCAGCAAGGTTCGGCAGCAGATAGAGAGCAACTAACGCATCAACATAAAATTATATCAACAGGTTAAAGGCAGTGGAACTGCATCGATTCACAAGTACATTAATGGCTGAGAATAGGATTTGCAAAAAAAGTTCTGAGCTGGCCCATCTGATAATTTTAACTAATAGGAAGAACTATAAAATAATAAAATTAAAAAGTTAGAGCAATTTTCCATTAAAAATAGGTGGTCAAAAACTACTTCTATAAAACTTACAACGACTAGACACATTGATGTGATTTTTTTTTTCAAATTCTAAAGGAACAATTTAGGGCAGGAGGGGAGGGAAGAACAATTACTCTGTAGTGATTGCACTGAAAACATTTCAGCATAGTGGTGAACTGATGCTAAAGTTGACTAGAGACTGATGTATATTAATTACACCTTATTGTTTGGGGGAGGAGCAGCAGGGGAAGAGGGTAAAAAGCCCCCCACCCAAAGAACAACATAAAAGGTGAGCTGAAGTTAAGGATCTAACTCTCTACTGCTTTGTACCTTGTATGATCATCAGTCATGGGAATTAACTAGTTAATTAACTAGCTAAAAAGTTAAAGAAATGGCTAACTTTTAACTTTAACTAGTTAAATTTTTTAGGTGTCAACTTTTAACTTTAAACTAGTTTAAAAAAAAAGGTTAACTCTAACTTTTTTTAAAGTATAAGTTAAAAGTTTAAAAAACCTGAAATACAGCTTTCCCAGAGTTTTTCCTGACACAGCCACTCTCTAGGACTTACCTGAAACGATATTTCTTTATTGAAACTCTAGGACTTCTTGTCTGAGAGACAGAGAGTAGCATGCCTTCCTATGAGATATGGTCTCTTAAGAACTACAAGTCCCAGAGTTCCTTAATTCATGCTGCAGGGGTTTGGGTTGTAGCCCTGTTGGTCTAAGGACATAGGCAGACAAGGTTCCTTGGGTGAATTTGGTATCTTTTATTCGACCAACCCAAACGGAGCATACACCAACTGCTGAAGCTTCCTTAGCCTGACGAAGGGTTTTTGAACCCGAAAGCTTGCTTAATAACTATTCTCCAACCGTTTGGGTTGGTCGAATAAAAGATATCAAATTCACCCAAGGAACCTTGTCTGCCTTAATTCATGCTGGCATTTTCTGTGCATTTGCAGAAGTCAACAGGGCAGCAAGTTGGCTGCAGGACAGGGAACAAGCATTCCCTCATCTGCCCATGTAGAGCAATTGTTCAGGAGTGGGGGCTTAGTTTTGCAAGACAGAGGAAGAAAATTGTCAGATGTAAATTTGGAAATGCAGCTTTTGCTGAAGTTCAATAAGCATGTTTAAATAGTTTCTGCTATGCAACTGAACATTTTTTTTCCTCATTTAGACTGATTTTCTCATTTCAGTCTAATTTTGATTTTCAGACACCTTAATTCTTTCTAATTCAGATGTATTTCATACCCCTTTGATACCTTTTGAGCAATAAAAATTGTAACAACAGAGGGTTTCTGTGGAAACAGCTTTCATTTGTCACCTGGGTATGAATATCTCCTTTCTGTTATTCTGGTATACCTGTATGATGCATTAACTTTTACAAAGTACTTCGCATGGAGAGGGTGAGAAGGATTTAACATTACATAGGTATTGGCAAATCGTTATTCTGAAAACTGTATGACAAGTATAACATTGTTTTCAGGTAAAGCAGGGTGAGTTCTAGGTAAATTAGTGTGCTTCTGTGGGTTTATGGAAAAGAAATCCACCCATTGCATTTGAAAATGAAAAATGATGCTAAGAGACAATTCACCGTGTTTCACACATTTCTCATGAATCAACAACTTGAAACTAGTTACTCTCTTTTTAACTTACCTTTTAACTAGTTGAAAGTGGAAATACTTAACATTTACCTTAACTCAAGTTAATTTTAAAGGCTGCTAACTTTTCACTTTAACTAGTTACATTTTTCATAAACTTTCCCCATGACTGATGATCATCCATACCTATGTCTAGTGGGTATAAAATGTTACCATTCTGATCAGGCAGTACTTTCACATGCAATGCAAAATTTCTCCAGGTTTTACTACTATCAGTAGTAATGCATACAAAATGTTTTGGATTTTTCCTCTGGCAGTGTCCTTTTATTTTACTTTTCCTTTTAACCCCAACTATATTTTTGCAGAGTTGCACCTGCCAGAACTTGCCATGGTTGCTGGCTGCTGCGTGGTATAACTCCTCAGCATGTCTGCCTGTTTTGACAGACACTTAGTATCCAAGCAAGCTTTCCCTCTCAGTGCTGCGGGCCTGTTTTTTCAAACTGTATTAACAGTAAGTGTATTACAAAAGATATTAAATCACTTTTTAAGAAGTAAATTAAAATCAGTAGTCTTGGACTGACATCCTTAGAAATGCAACTATTCACACACACGCAGTATACACAGTAAAATGCAGGCTCCTTCTGCTATCCTTAGCTTTGATTTAAAGGATTCACCCATGGTGGGGCTGGTGTGGGGAGGACAGGCAGTCTCCCTGGCTTATTCAATCCTGGGCCTCTATACTAAGTGAATAAAGCAGTCAATTAGCATGTCTAGTATTGATAGATTTCAGCTATCAATTGGCATCTCCATCGATTTCAGTGGAACTAACACACCAGATGATCTGGTTCTTGCAAAACACAAGCACCAATCAGTGGCAGGAACAGTGCCATCAGCAGTACATGCTCACCTGCAGGAGCATACATGTTGATGGATTTTCTTCAAGACTGACTAATCACTTCAAAAACAATCTTTACCACATTGCAAAATCTGCAGAATACAGATTAAGTCTACTGGGTTTTCTTTTTTCCCCCCCCAATTATTCATAAAAGTTCTTCCTATTAGTTAAAATTATCAGCAGAATCTAGCTCTAAATCTTATAACAAGATTTAATACAATCCCCTTACCCACAGGTCAGGTACTCTCCTGCTTATTGTTTATCTTTTAGGAGATCTTACCTCGCAGTAACTGTTCCTGTTTGACAACCAGCCCCTGGTATTTTTTATAGGTTTTGTCATACTCCTTTTTCAGTGTTTGATTCTCAGGATCTTCATCAAGTAAATAGCTAGAGTTAAGGATGACTGTAATACAAAGGACACAGAGAAATCAATACTCTATATTTTGATCACTAGTGGGAAATTATACTGGTACTATCTGTATAATAACAAATGGTGAAGTTGTCCATGGAAGATGTGGGGGAACTGGGTCACTGGACAGATCACTGCATATGACCTACAAAAATACTCTATAGGCTGTTGCCTCATGCCTCTGAGCCAGTTAAGTCTCTAAGGGTATCTTTACAAGTGCTCCAGGGTGGCGGGGGAGAGGGAGGAACAGCATTTTAATTAGAGCGGGTCTCTGGAGCTGCTCTAATTAAAAACTCCCACAGCGTCTTGTGTGTATTCAGCGTCCCGCGCTTCAAAATAGCTGTGGGCGTGCTTTAACTAAAATTCTTTTGATGAACTTTACTTAAAGTGCCCCCACTGCCATTTTGAAACATGGAGACACTGAATGCACATGACACATAGGCTCCTGGAATGTTCCAATTAGAACGTATTCAAATGTGCCTGAGCAGGTGCTGGGCATGTGTATAGGTGCCCTAATGTGCCACTCTTCCCTACCTTCTATATTTCCCTTAGCATCTTCTCTCTGCCACTGACAGAAACAGGATACTAGGTTAAACAGAACTGTGGTCTCACCAGGTATGAAATTGCTTATCTTCTTAATAAAAAGTGGCCCACACTCCAAAGACATTTACAAAGACCTGGTGAAAGGTATTCTATTAGTAATAAAATACATCCTGCAAGACATCACAAATAAAAATTAAACTTGAAACCATTCAACAAAGTATTTCCCTGCCCATCTCTCTCGCTTTTTGTTTTCACCTGTTTTCATCCTGTAAGATGTTACACACATTTTTACAATCTGTTGCATTGACATGAGTTGCTGCATATAGATCTCACTTCAACTAATAACAGTACTAAAGACCAGGCAAAAGCTGTAAAGTTTTCCAGATACACTAAAAGGATATCAGCTTTCTTCTTTTTGGCGAGTTCCTCCTGCCAGAGCTCATGTCTCTTCAGCTCATGATCTATTATGTTCATACACAGAGCTCCAATTTTGTAGTGCGTGATTAGCCCATGAAACTGAGAAAAACTAGACATAAAAATACATATACATGTAAGAACTGCACAGGAGAAAAAAAGATAAATAATAAAAAAGTGCTTTCAACTGAAACGTTAAGATCTTACAATGCTGTACAATATGAAATGTTTTTATCAGAGCTGGTGAAAAACAATTCAATGAAAATCTTTTGTCAGCAAATGCCATTTCACTGAAATTAAAATGTTTCATAGGAATCTGTTCCTGTTGAGTGAGAGAAGTCAACTTTTTTATTTTTAAGTAGAAACATTTCATTTTAACATGACCCTTCCACTTCAATTCATTTTGACAATTAATTATATTAATAGTCTAAGCAAAATGAATTAAAATGTATAAGAATATTTCATTTCAACACTACCTTGACAAAATGGTCCCAAATAGATTTTTTTCAGGATTTTCATTTCATAGGAAGTGTCAATGTTTTTTTTTGTTTCAGAACTGAAACAAAAATATTCTGCAAACTGTTGTAGCTTCCTCTCGAATGGAAAGTCCATTTTCTAACCAGCTCTAAATTGTCACGTTATAAAATGGTTCAAAGACTCTACACAAATAAATCAGTCACCATCCACTTACCTAACATCTCCCCTTCCATCAGTAGTCTAGATATGGTGATATTTTACTATTATCTACACTAATAGATTACAATCAACTGCCTGCATTTTGAATATTGTTTTCTTCAGTCGGCAAATGTACTTGGGAGATTATAAAGGAGGCAGCATAGTCCAATGGACAGAGTACAGAACTGCAACTCAAAAACAAGGGCTATTCCTGGCTCAGCTGAAAACTGTGTAACTGTGAGTTTACTATCAGTGCCTCAGTTTCCACACCTCTATTGATGGTTTTCAGTAAAAGTGTTTCAATATATATTTCAGAAGAGCACTAGAACAGAAAATGGAAAATGCAACGCAACTGGTAAGAGGAAGCTGCTCATTTGTGCACAATGACTTTCACTTACCTTGAAAAGCAGAAGAAAATATAAATTATGTTAGTAGCAAGTTCCACACTTTGTTTCCAGTCTTCTCTCAGCACTCTTGCCAATGCACCCAGTGCAGTTTCTAAAGTTAAACATGATTTAAATAATGTTTATAACCAATTTCTCACTCTCTCTCTCTCACCGGCTTAAACCATAAAGGGCTTAATGCACACCTTTCATTATATCCTGCCTATTTATTGTAATGGGATTTTTCAGAGCCCTCTGCCATACTAATATGTCACATTCTTCATAGAGTCTCTGTCTGTCTATGGTTTATGTTAAAATACTATAGTGTTTCATTTCAATTGGTTTTAAAAGTCACAAATCCAGAGAAGGGGTGAAAAAGGACAGAGGCTGAGTCTGCCAAAGCTCTAAGGTAACTCTGACAAATTTACCACCTTTATGACTGTGTTCTCCCACTGTCTCCTAACCTCTCAGGGTCTCAGGCCTTGTGTCACACCACAATTTTCTACATGTTCAGTAACCTCAAACAATGTACATCACCCTATTTCAAGCCCTCTTCTTTTTCTCTTTGTTTTCCTTCCCTTCCCTCTCCTGATCAGAAGTCAACTGCCAAAAAGGCTTGCAGGTTATAAGAGGGTTTTTCACTAGTCATTTTTAATGAGAGAGAGTGCATGAAGAAGGAAACTGGATGCTGAAGAGAGGACAAAAGGAATCTAGACTCCTTAGAGAATTTTCACCCATGCCCAAAGATTAATAAAGGCAATGAAAGCAGGGGAATATGTGAAAGCATTTATTATTTTGTCTAAATCAGTATACTACATGTCCTAGATGAAGTAAGAATAATAGAGTTTTTTTGAACCCTTGCAAATGTGTGTCCCTGAAGAGATGCATGGTAAACTCTGAGTATGCACAAGACAGGAACTTTGGGAAAGCATGGAGATTCTAAGGGGGTGGGAGGGCACTGAAAGGACAGGGGTCAGAACAAGGAGGCCTAAGAAAGATGGGCTGAGGACTAATTTTCAAAGAGAAGTAGCAGACAGTGCGTGTGCCATGGAAGTACATTTGAGGAACCAGAGCTGAAACCAGTGGGCAGCGCCTAAGATGACAGAGATTCAGCATGGGACCAGCACAGTGGGAAACATGCAGCAGCCTGGTAAGAGTTCTTCACAGGAAGCTCTACCAGCTCTGTGACAGCTGGCTTTATTTTACTCCAAAACAAGCTAACATTACGCCCACACAGTATGCATGTTTCCCAAAGGAAGAAAGAACTGTACAGAGATGGAAAAGAACAATGCAACTTTGAGAAGATTTAGAAGTTACCATTGAGGAGCAATTCTTCCAGGTTATCAGGGTTCCGGGCCAGCTGTAGGATAAGGGCAGAGCCGCGCACCTTGTCAGGAATATCCTCGTACAACAACTCGATGTATTCATCCATGTCATTAATATTAGCTACTTCATCGATCTGAAAGCACAGGCATATTTGGACTTTAACACACAGAAGGAACCACTTCAGCTTCATACTGAGTTGGGTTACTTTGCAGACAAAGCAGAAAAGACTTCATAACTATGCCTTAGGATGTAAAAAAACATGAACTGAATCATTGCAACTGACAGGCAGGAAAACAGAAAATTTAAATCACAAAAAATAAAAAAGTACTTAGAAGTGGCTTGGGGCTTCCAACCTCATACTCCAGACCCTTCTCCTATTTATACTGCACGACGCTACACTTACAGAGTCAGGCATACAACTTAAATACTTTAGCCTTCAAGGAGATGTTTAACACACTATTGTTATAGAGTTGTTAAAACAAGCTCTTTGGTTAGAAAAAAGAAAAACAACAATTCTTCAATATCTCACTCATCTTATTGCATCCATTTTTATTTTCCTTTTAAAATAAAAATACTTCCATCAGGGAAAGGTGTCTATACTTGAAATCTTTTAAATTCTACGCCCAATTCCTACCTCCATTCCTTCAAAGGGGGGTGGATCTTTTGGTTTATTGGATTTCTCTTTCTTTTCTGTAGTGAGAAAAGACATGGTTATAATTAACATTATAAATATTCAAAGGCAATAGCATGCTAAATATTATTATAATTTGTACTATGGTAGCATCAAGGAGATTCTGAGATAGAATAGGACTCCCAACCCAGAATAAACAGAGGTTTCTTGCCCCAAAGAGGTACAAGTCTAAACGTTCAAGCTTTGTTTTAGCTCAATTCTGTAGCCATGAAGAGGAAGAATGACGAAGAAAATTCTGCTATGACATTTTTATTTTCAAGGCCTGGACACTGGTGTAACTCACTAATATACTGGTGTAAAAAGGGAACAGACAAACTATAGATCTACATGAGTGTCACTTACCAGAATCCAGTGTAGAGGTACACAAGGAAAAAATCAGGAGTAAAACTACACTGGTCTAAAGTTACACCATCATTGCAGGTGTCATGTGTCCACTTCTATCCCTGGGTAGCTATTGGTTCCACTCACAGTGGCAAGGTCCTAAACTGGCACCTACTCAGGCAGCAACCTCAGGAGATCTGGTCACCTGTCCATTCTAGACACTAATGAAACTTATACTGGTGTACAAAATTAATCTAAGTTACATTGGTGTTAAGGTGTTGCATATAACTTTTTCAAAACTAAAACTGTTAATGCATCTTTAAAAGTCTACTATTTTAACACAGGAGTCAGGAATTTGAGAGACAAGTTCCACATATGCATGCACTTTGGAATATAGTCTATACTACAATATCACAAGATCTTAGGTAGCCTCAGTGTGAAACAGGACTCAACCCCTTGTATAATGTTCACTTCTGAAGAAGGTCAGTAAGAGATGTGAGAGACTTAAATTTTATGTAGGGGTAGGAAATGACTGCTTTAATTAGGTTATTTGGCTAATCAGGAATTTGTAAAATAAACCTTGATTCACCAAGATACTGAAGTCCTTATAATTTCATTGAGGCTTAATACCCCTGCTTAAGTAAGTGGCTGAACTGAGCCCATAGCTATTACCTGTGGAGTATAGCAGTAAAAGGGTAACAGTAAAAGGGAGACTTAGGACTGTCATGCAGTAAGAGGGATGTCAGTCCCAGTTTTTCAGTCACAGACCAGAAACACCGGTTATTAATATAATAATCAGAACTTCTGATTTCCTGTGGGGAAAGCCTTGAGTTTAACACTTTGTTCTCATCAAGCTCAGGGTATAAAAGCTGAATACCCATTTCAATGGACTGACCGAATTGCATCCAAACATGTCACATGCTGGTTCAAAACAGACATCCTTGGGACAAAGAAAGCACTTTTTAAATCCCATCTTTTGCTTGAAATTCTACTACAGTAGGAAACACCTATAGGAAAGTTCTGAAAACTACAAAAAAAGCAATGCAATAAATACGACCTGAAAAGGGTATATAATATTGGACTTCTTACTGTTTTGGCTTTCTTTAAAATAAAAGATCCTGAATGGTCAGTTTTCTTGTTTCAAGGAGTTGTTCTTTTATTTCTACTTCAGAAATATCTGTAATTTTGAGTGGTTGTTCTCGTTGGAGCACTATGTCAGAAGACCCAGAGAAAAGGACTGGGCATTCTCTCAACAGTTAGTTGAAAAGATGAAGCATTGGATATTTATCAAAGAAAACTTTTCTTCTTGTTTGCTAGACATATGAGTTACATAGGGCTTGACACCACAAAGAAAGAAAAAAACATTTTGAAATCATCTGAATAGAAATCAATTCCCCTCTCAGTCAGGTCTCACCTCATTTGCATGTCTGAATTACAAAAATACTACATCTCCACCCACAGATCTGGAAGTAACAGGGAGGCAAAAGCTAAATTTCTAATATACAGAACAAGCAGAAAGATGCAATTTCATTTCAGACCTGCCTTACACTTCATAGGAAAAAATGCAAGTAAATTGGCACAAGCTCAGTACTTGTATTTTTCCAGAAAGAACTATGCAAAGCACTACAGAAAACATCTACTTTAGAATACAGAAGAAAATACAGTTAAATAAAACCTTAACAGTGTATCTATACAATTCAGAGAGGAATTGTTCAGGTTACAGGCATTTATACTCCCTCCCCCAAATCATGGGTTTGTTAGCATAAAGGTTTTCAAAAAGCTAAACACAGTGGTCCTCAATCTTCACAGGCCTGCAAGCAACAAGCCAATAACAGACTGCAGGCAGTGACAATCTTTTCTCTCCCTGTCAACTTCTGTTCTAACCTTGCAATTTTCTGAGGCTGCAAGCAACCTCAGAGGGTCTCACTGGCAACATGATGCTTGTGAACCCAGTGTTAGAGGCCACCACCTTAGCAGTTTTAAAAGAGAACCTGGACTTGCCTAGAAGCTGATCCAGGAATTTTTTCTTTGCTCAAGTCTTACTGAGCACCCAAACTGAAAAGGCTAATTAATATCACCACATTTCCATGTGGCACATGGCTGAATAGTGTTAAATAGAATGTTAAGCAGAGTCTTAAATAAAGCTAATGTGAAATAATACCTCTCTTTTAGTAGACGGATTAAGGGTTCTCAGTATTACAAAGAACTCTTAGCGCTGCAATATAACACGTACAGAACTACTGCTTTCATATGTCTTGTCTGAAACAATCTATCCTATCAACCAGCTATAAGGGAAAAGAGAAGATATTAGAGTCTAACGGACAGAATTCCTTTAAGGTCACCTGTCTGGCACCATCTGAAACAGTTATTGCAGAATTTAGAACAGAAGATTTTAATTGAAAGAGACAAAGCAAAAGAGAAGCACCAACATTAAGTTTGACTAATGAAAAGAAAAATGTACTTGGATCATCAAAATGGCTGCTCTTTTCCCACAAGTTTCTGTCAATTTTTTCATGTATATTATAAACACCCCTACCTACTCCTGTCCTCTTCACCCTTCAAATTTCCCCATAGCAAGCAAAGGAGTTTCTAAACTAGAAAACCCAAAATACAAAACATTACCAGTGCCACTATACACTAGCTCCACATTTTACCCTAATCCTTGTACCACTTACCTTTCCCTGATGAGGCATCTCTGCGGTTCTGCAGATAGTACAGCAGTTGTTCTACCTCGGCTAGCCTGGAGGGGTGAATGAGCTTACATTCCTCAACCACCTTACGAGCCAGGGAGGCAATGTCTGTGTTTGCATTGAGACTCTTCAGCCGAATGCTGTAAAACAGTTCAAACAGAAAAATCTTACACCAGCTGGGGAGAAAACCAACTTCAACCACTCAGTTTAAACTCGTATGCTGGTTAATTTTTCAAAGCAAAAATAATCCACAGACCTCTGATATCTGGACTGAAGTTTGCAACAACCAAAGTAAAAAAATGGTGACACTCAGAGCTCCAGAATGACAAGAAAATGCCTGTCAAATTGATTTAATAAGGTAGGGCTATTTATCAGCTGACCAAAACACAGTCTTTGCAATATGGCTATATAAGCAAATGCCTGTTATCCAACTTAGGGATAGTAGTTATCACAAGTGATCTGGAGATGGCATTCACAATGGCTATTAATAATGCGACACTCCCGAAGTACAACACAGAAAAAGGTACCCCTATAAATAAAATTTCCAGTGTGCATCAGCTGTGCCTCATGGTGTCCTCACATTGTATTTGCCCACTTTAGAGAGATTTTTTTTTCTCCTTATGAGCCATGCAAAATTATAGACCTTATGAGTAACAGACAGTGAGCAAAGGAGATATCTGTAGACAGATGAGGAGGTAGAATGGAAGGAACTCCAAGTCTCAGATGGCAATAAAGTCAGGTCATTGTAAACCAAAGGTACATGTTTAATGTACTCAAAAATTCTGCAATAATACTTATCTTATATAAGAGAAATGTTTTTTCCTGATCCTTATTCTCAACACAACACACACAGCCATTCCTG